GTGATTGGTGGAGGGCTTTGGAGGAGGAGTCGTGGCTGAGTCCCACCTGCAGCCCTCAGGGAGAGGAGCTCCCTGCTTCTCTTACTTGCTAGAAACCTCCAGGCAGGCACTAGGGCTGCGCTCTGTAGGGGCTGCGCTCTGTAGGAGCTCTGGAACAGAGACCAGAGGGCTGGGGGCAGCCTCCGAGCCCAGGGCTGGGGCTGGCCGCGCCCAGGTAGGCCTCTGTCCCCGGCGTCTGCCGGGGTGAGTGGGAGGGGCCCCGGGATCCTGGCGGTCAGACCAGGGAGACTTCGGCTTGGAAGCTGGAGGAGCGGCGGGCCCCGGGGCTGACGCGGGTCAGCATGGAGACCTGCGTGCTGCACGTGCCGCTGTTGCTGCCTCCTGATGGGGGCCGGTATTTGGGGTTCCAACCCAGGACGCCCTGCAGATGCCAGCGCCGCCACTTCCGCCTCAGCTCCGCCTGCACCTAGGAGAGGGTGAGGTGGTTGGGCCCACTGCTGTGGAGCCTCTTCCACTGTGGGTTGGGCTTCTCTCGACTTGGGTTCTGAACTAGCCAGCCTTATCTTCTTTAGGATATCAAAATGGGGAGACCCGATGCCGCCTTGGGTGGTGCAAACTTGGGACTGGGTTGAGGCCAGGTTCAAAAGGAGGCCTTGGAATGGTAGGAAGTGAGAGGCAGAGAGGATCCGAGAATGCAGTCCAGGGTGGGAGCAGGATGCTGCCTAGGGGCGACTGTACCCCAGTTCCTCCCATCCTGGCCCTCCAGCTCACTTGAATGGGTTTTTGTGCATTGTAACCAAAGCTTCACAGCAATTCAACCCTCACTGAGAGCCCCCCACTCACTGCACACAGCCACTTAGCTAGGTGTTCCCAAACTCGGCTGTGCACAGGAATCCCCCTGGGAGTTAGTAAAAACCTGTTTTTGTTTTTAATAATATTAAAATGCAGATTCCAAGCCAGCAGGCCTGGGGTGGTCACCGAGACGCGTGATTTAGCAAGGGCCTAGGTGACACCAGTGCTACTAGTCTGAGGACCATATTGGAGTAGCAAGGTTTAACCTGTCCTTGCTCTGCACATATCTCATCAGTTTTTCTGGACCCTGGTCCTGGGAGTTCCATCATCTGAGCTCCAAGGACTGGGAGGTGCTTACCTCACCATTGAGGAAGCAGTAGAGGATAGCCACCACGAAACCCTGGGAAGGAAGGGGACAGAAGAGGTGAGGTAGACAGACACCAGAAGCCCCCACCCTGCCCCACCCTGCCCCACCCTTGGCTCCAGCCCCTATGCTCCCCTGGTTAAGGAAAGTAGGTGCTTATCTAATACTTATTACAGTAAAAACATTGGAATCCAGTGGCAAGGGCCAAGACTCCAGGGTGAATTCCATTAAAAGCCAAAGAAGAATGCAGCCTTAAGTCAACAGTCCATACCTGGAAAGACCCCACGATGAGCTCAAAGACCATTTTCACCTCAGCCTTAAAATTGTCAGGAAAGAAGGCGAACATGATGTAGTGCACTCCGAACAGGGGGATCAGCAGGAGTGTGGACCTGGCCAGCCTCCTGGAGACAGGGGGGGCAGGCCGTGGGCATGTGTCCACATGTGGATATGGTGGCTGGAGACGGGGGGGGGCAGGCCGTGGGCATGTGTGTCCACACATGTGGCTATGGTGGGGCCTGGCATGGGGGAGCTGGAGGCACGGAAGATGGGGACAGTGACCAGGATGTGTGAAGATGGAGTATGGGTCCCCCTAAATACTATGTCCATGTCTGTTCCTGTTCCACAGCCGCGGTGCCTCTGCCCTCATGCCCCCAGCCTTCCTGGCCTGGAAGGAAGCCCCTCTCTTCTCACCCTTCTGGAGGAGAGAGGGTAAGAGGTAAGGGAGAGGCCAGTGGGAATGACGCATCAGGGACATGTGAGCTGAAATCCACTATGAGAGGCCAGTGGGAATGATGCAGCAGGGACATGTGAGCTGAAATCCACTATGGGGTGTTCTGTTGCCTGGGACCCCTGGCCTGGGAGGGGCTTACCTCACTATGGCCGTAGAGGATACTCTCAGCCATAAGGGCAGTGGAAAATCTCTCAGGCAACAGGAGCTCCTGGTTCCCTTTCTCCTGGCCTCAGCTTTTCCAATTCATATAACGTAGTAAGCGCAAGCTTGACATAGTCAGATCACAGAGCGGGCCCGCTATGAACGTGGAAGTGTTGTGGGTGGGATAAGGTGAAGTGTATCCACGAGAGACCAATTCCCTACCGGGAAGATGTACTAGGAAGCAAGTCTTTCTGACTGGGGTGCTGACCACACATGCCCAGGGCCACTTGGGAGGGTGATGGGGACCCAAGTTCATGCCTGATCACCAGGGACAACCCAGAATGAATCAGTATCACCCTCTGTCTTTGTTTTTTCTGCTGTGTCTGCTTTTCCAGGAGTTGCTGCCTTCTCTGGGATTGCATCCCTTCCTCCTCCCTCCCCACACCACTGCATACACCCCCAGCATGCTCTGAAGGACCGGCTCCTCCTTTACAGCTGTGTGTGCTGAGCAGGGTCAGCATTCATTCTAAATGTTTATCCCTCTCACAGAGCCCAGGGTGCTTTCTTCCTGGTTCAGGCTTCCCAGCCACCTGAACTCAGCTGGTCCAGGCAGTGTGAGCCCATTACTCCCTGGCTAGGCGAGGTGGGGTGTGGATAGAGAAGGTCTCTGACTCTGTCTATCCTGCCTTAGCAGTCGGTCCAAGAAAGCCTAGCCCAAGGCTTAAGGTCCCACAGCAAGCTGGGGGCAGAGGAGTTGGCCTTGGCCCTCCCACTCCTTCCCGGACCTGGTCCCCAGCTATGCCAAGATCCTGAGCACTGCCCACCCCTCTTCAGCTGCAAAACTGTGCGATGCACCAGAGGCTAACAGATGGAGGCTTTCTTTAAAGCGAAGCCTCCTGGGGAGGTGGAGAGTGGGAGCTGAGAGCCTCTCCTTGAGGAGCTCCATCTCTGACTGCCCCCACCCCTTCTGCCTGCTGACAACTGTTTCCTTTCTGTCTCACCCACACAGACCTGGCTCTGCCCATGGCCAGCTCTGTTTGCCTCAGATTCAAGCCCTTTGGAATCGTTGTAAGTTGGGAGAGATAAGGTCCCATCGGCAAAGGAGAGGATGAGGGGGTACAGGCCCGACGTGCTGCCCCTCGGCAGCCTGCAGACCCCCACAGGAGCCTTTCCTTCTCAGACAAGAAGGGAGCTCCGCCTACAAACCTGGCAAGAGAGAATGTGGTCACACCAGGAATGTGAGTCTTAGTCTCATCAGGGAGAATCACAGGATTCCAGAATAGAATCCTAAATCCAGTAGCATGTGACATTCTCGCCGGGAATCTTAGAACCATAGCACAGACTCTCCAAAGAAGCCAGGCCAAGAAGACCATTCTAGAATCCCAGGACCAGAAGGCCTTGCGGGGCGCCCCAGGTCTGTCTGTGGGCACAGCACCGATGCTCCATCTCCTGCTCCCTCCGTGAGCGTGCAGACCCCGCGTGCCTTCCCACAGCCTCCCTTTCCACGTTGCTCCTGTTTCTTTAGTCTGTCTTCGAGCCATGTTGCTCCCACAAAATTCTGCCTCTTCCTCCCAAGCACAGGGGACAGTCCTGACACCTTTCCAAGCCCTGGTCCACACCGTGCCCCCTTCTCCCTGCCCATGGTGACATGCTCCAAAACCCTCGAGGAGGAGGGCGGGTATGTCAGTTTCTTCTCTGTAAAATGAGGATAATTTTACAGGGGACTGTGTGGATGAAATGATATGATGCATGGAAATCCCTTAGCGTGTGCCTGGCATGTAAACCGCAGGTGTCATCATTATTACTAAGAAATACCAAGTGCTGAACATGCGTGTCTCATTGGCAGACTGGGCCCCCCGAGGGTATGCATCTGCTGTGTGCTTAGTGCCCCCTTTCCATGCCAGGGACATGGTATGAACAAGATGCAGGTCATCGGTGTCCTCTCCAGCTCCCTGGCTTGGAAGCAGATGCATCCCTGGGAAGGGTGCCAGATGAGTGTGGGCAGCAGAAGCATCCGTGGGGCTCTGAGCACAGCCTGGTGAGGGCGGGGCTGGGCAGGGGGCTGGTAGGCTGAGCCAGGCCATGGTGGAGGTGGGCACGAGCAACGTGGCTCTGTGGTGACTCTGGACGTTTGGGGTGGAAAGACTTCGAGGAGCTGTGGGATGGTTTAGGGCCTGGGGACAGAGGCACTGGGGCCACACTCACGAGTAGGGACTGCTGCCACTCTTCCTGATATCTGGGGGCCGCAGTTTCTGAAGCAGGATTCGGATGATGCAAATAAACAGAATGAAGTTCACCTAGTGGGTGGGGACCGAGGTCAGCAGCCAGAACGGGAAGGCTGGGGTGCGGCCTGCCCCTTCCCAGGGTCCTGCTGCCCTCTGGCTTTGGGCAGGTCACCCGGGAGCCCCACCTCCTTCACTTCCCTTAGGACAGTGCTCCATAACTGCCTACTCTCAAGGACCAGCTAGGGGGACCGGGGTGGGGTGACCCTGCACTGGGCATTGGGAAGCTGCGTTTCAGTTCTGACCTAGATACTAACTTCCCGTGTGACCTGGGGCTAAGCTGCCCGCCCTCAGGAGCTGTTTCCCCATCCCTGGGTGGCGAGAGGGTGCCTTACCAGGATGGAGGTGAGGATGGGGCCCTTTATGATCCACCACAGGGAGGAGTCGATGATGTCCCAGCACCTGAGCAGGGTGGGGAGGAGTGAGAGGGCCGTCCTCAGCCAGAGTCAGCAGCACCCTCCGCGGTTGTCCCCAGCTCTGACCCTGAGCCCTTCCACCCCCCGGCCCAGAGTCCGCTGCTCCCCAGGTCCTCCTTCCAGCCTCCCCTCTGGACCGAGTGCCGTGGTTTTTGTCCACTCAGCAAGGCCAGGTGGCATTATCATCCCACCCAGGGGACCTGCCCAGGTGACAGCAGCGGGGGAGTGGGGGGGGCGGCAGCTCACCCGTAATCCTCAAAATGGATCCTGACGATGGCCCACACCGTGGTGAACGTGCTGGGCACCCCTGTCAGGCCCGGGCAGAGGGCACAGGAGGCAGGGGTAGAGGGCATGAGGGAGATTTCGGAGAGAACCAGAGAGGGGGGGTGAGAGAAAAGGGTGGTTTTCAGGCTGCCGTCTTCGGTCGCACAGGCTGTTCACCGCGGGGCGTGAAGCTGTGTCCCTCAAGGGCTGTGTCTACTTAGGCAGACAGTCTGTTTCTAATCGTGACAGAGGCCCTTTGCAGATGAGCAGTGGCCCTGCGTATTTCAGGGGCTTAAGGGAGCAGGAAGGATGCTCACAGAATCTGTCCCACAGGTCAGCCCTGAGCAGCTGCGGGCTGAGGGGGCCTGTCCTGGGCTCCACATTTTGAGGACTTTCTCGACCCTTAGCTGACATCCTTGCAGGCAGGACCTGCAGCTAGAGAGACCTAGGACTGCAAGCTGGGTTGGCACCCTCCCCTTAGGCAGTTCTCCAGGCCTGGCCCTCTGTCCCCAGCCTGGAAGCCCTCCCTGGTACCATACCCCAGCCGATGAGTATGTACCCCCAGAAGTACTTCCGCTCGGAGAAGAAGGAGACGGCGAGCAGGGTGTACAGGTAGAGCCCCTCCACCAGCAGCCAGAAGAAGTTGGCCATGACACAGTATTGGAAGAAGACCATCGCTGCCTTACAGCCCACCTGCAGGGGGGAGACAAGCGTCCTTGACCGCCGTGCCCGTGTCTGGGGCAGAAGCACGGTCCAGTGCAGCCAGCTTCATCTCGGCCGCTCCTGCGTGAACCCCTTAAAAATGTGCCTGGTGGTTTTCCCATTTTCCCTAATTTGAGGTCATCTGATACTTTGGGATAACCTGATGACTTTAATTCTGCATCCATCAATTCATCGATTCATCTCCCATCTATGTATCTATCCATCAACTCATCCACCCACCCACCTACTAATGTACCATTTCTTCCCCCACTCACCCGCTAGACGTTCACTGTCAACTCACAGTGTTTCCATTTCATCCACATATCCATCAGCATCGACTCATCTTTACCTCTGTCAGTCTGTCCGCCCCCCACCCATCTCTCCATTCACCTACCAGACTGCTCACTTAGCCAGATGCCCATCCATCCATCTCTACACCCGCCCACCAACCGCCCAGCCGCCAACCCGCCCCACCCACCAACCGCCCAGCCGCCAACCCGCCCCACCCACCAACCACCCAGCCGCCTACCCGCCCCTCTGCCCACCATCCATCCAATCTTCCTCCTTTGCCCGTTTATCCTTCTGCCTACTCAGCCAGCCACCAACCTGCCCATCCACACCCCACTCCAGCCACTCATTCATCCAGTGCCAATTTGCACTGAAGGTAGCTGGAAGGTATGAGGGAGAATTCTTGCTTGAGTTTGCGAGAGCCCGCTGAGTGTGTGGGGCGGGCTGTGGACTATGGGGTGGGGCCCAGAGGGAAGTGTGGAGGGAGACTGGGACCCAGAAGAGGGTCGGAGAGGGGAAGTAGCAATGAAGAAGGGGAAGGGGGGCAGGTGGCCATTCCTCCTGGGTTCAGAGGACCTAGTGGAAGAAGGGATTCCTCAGGGAGACCCGGGAGTAGGGCAGTCACGGGCTCCGGGTGTCCCGCGACATGACTGAAAGGTGTTCTGGGCCTTTTGTCCCCTCCCAGAAAGTCCCTCTTTTCAGATCAAGCCTAGGTGTCTGTGAGCCAGGTTCAATGCCACCCTCCTCCCGGAAACTCTGGCTTCTACCTCCCCTGCACCCACAGTACCGGCTCCCACGCTTCCTTCCTGTACCGTTGGCTCGAGACATCCTCAGCAAGAGGCTCCCCTCCCTGCCCCCACCTCCTCCCTTGGTTGGGAGGTCCTTCCTCAGGTCTTGCCCAGTCTCTCCAGTGACAGGAGTTCTTGCCTCCCCTTTTGGAGGATCAGTTCTTTATCAGGACCAGTTATCTGCTTCCTCCTTGTCTTAGAAAAGCTTCACAGTAATGAGTCGGGAACCAGTCTGCACAATTATCCCTAGCACGTGCACAGGAGGCAACATGTTCCTCCACAGGCCTGTGGCTCCCACTGCTCGTGTCTGACAGCCTCCCAGCTCCTGGGCAGAGCCTCTGGGAATGGCCAAGGCTGGTCCCCTGAGTTTTCTCTCCCCTTTGTTGAAGTGCCTGAGATTCCAGCATGATTATTTCAGTCTTTGGGGAGAAGGTACTGCTGACCCCTGATATAACGCATTGCCTCTGGGGTCGCGCATGAACCAGTGAGTCACCGAGGACAAGGAATGAGTGGGGCTGTCTGTCAAAGCTTGGGGCACTCAGGGAGGGTCCCTCAGAATCCCTTGGGGATGGCCCCCTTGGTGACTGGCAATGCATTCCTTAGATTCTCCCTTTACTTCCCTTCCCTAGGAAAGCCCAGGACCAGCCTGACGGCAGGATCTGAACACAAGAGGAGGACCCCGTATGTTTGGGCGCACTCCAGACGGTGCAGGGAGGGGCAGGAAAAGCGGCATGGTGCGCAGAGCCCTGGCTATGCAGCTGGCAGAGGGCAGGGTGGGAAGGAATCTTGGAAGTCCTGGCACAGATGGGGAAGCTGAGGCAGTAAGTTCCTCACGGCCACACAGGAAGTTAGCAACACAGGTGGGACAGGGGCTCTGGGCTGTGGCCATGAAGTGTCTCATTTCCCATCTGCTTTTCTCACTGGCGGGGGCAGGTCTGTGAGCTCCCAGATGGCTCAGCAACATCTCCTGTTGCCGGAGGGGAGTGTGATTTGAGCAGCTGCCAGGTGGGGTTGGGCCATCCTTGGGGTGGGGGGGAAGAGGGACGGGGGACAGGGAGAAGCAGGGGGAGAAGAAGAGATGACGGTGGCTAAGGATAAGGGCGAGGCTGAGGGAGGGGCCGGGTCCTCACCGAGCCCTCGGAGCACTGGTCCGACTCGCCGCTCTCGAAGAGGGCCAAGTCCTTGATGAAGACGGCGGCGGCCCTCAGGATGAAGGAGACGAACAGGTGCGTGTGGATGTAGTTCCTCGTGCAGTGGAGCTTCCTGCGTGGGGTGGGCAGATCCGGGAGGCCAAAGCGGCCTTGGGCCCCACCCCAGCCCACACCGTCCTCTGCTCTGAGCAAGGCTTGGGTAGCAGAGCGTGTGTCCCCAGGGGGCAGGCCCTGCCTCGAAGGGGGTCCCATCCTGAACTATGAGTCCCGCCCCCCTAGTGCTCCATCCTCCTGTGCAGCTGGGCCCCCAAGTGTCAGCCCCCGCGCGGCCCCAGAAGCCTCATTCCTGCATGCAGGACACACCCTCTGCTGCCCTGTCCCCAGCCGCAGGGCCATCCTGGGGAGACTGGGCTGGAGCACATGGAGCGGCCTGGCCGCCTGCCTTCTCCAGGGGAGGCTGGCCTGGCAGGAGCTGGGGTCTGTGAGCTGCCGGGGGCGACAGTGGAGCGGTCGGGGCATGCCTGGGCCAGGCTGGGCTCCAGGGTGGGAGGGACACTTGCGGGGTCTGCTGTGAGGCCTGTCACTTGGGCTGGGCCTCACCTGAACAGGTTCAGGATCGCCGTGGCAACCAGCAGGGTGGCGAGGGACAGGCTATAGCCCACGGTGTACCCGGTCTTCACGGAAGCGAAGAACATGGTCTGCTGCTGCTGGAGGACGGGGGGCTCACCTCGGGGGGCTGGCAGGGCTGGGGTGCCCCACACACTCCGCCTGCCCCTCCCTGCCCCAGCAAATGGGGCTGAGGCCTGGGGCTCCTGAGAGCAGCTGAGCAGAGCTCCTCAATGCCCTGACCCTAATGCCCTGGTTTCCACAGACTGTGTCTGAGGGGGGGGGGTGGGGGTTGAATGTACTGTCTCTCCTTGTGTCTTCACAAGGGACGAGTTGGTGAGGGAGAGAATGAAGACCCAACTCTGGACTGGGCACCCTGGGGGCCGGGTCTGCTTGCCCTTCAACCCCCCTCAAGACCCTGTCTGTACAGGAGAGGCATGCGGACGTCAGAGGAGACCTGCTGAGCTCTCAGGAGCTGGGGTTGGTGGGATGAGGGCAGCCTGGCCTTTCTTGGGGAGGAGGGCAAAGCTGGGCCTGAGGGTTTCTTGCTTGGTCCCCTCTCCCGACCCCTCCCCGTGGACACAGGCGAAGCGCAGAGTGACAATCACGAGATGAGCCGCTCCTTGCTCTCCACCCCCCACGCCCTGCCCGAGGAGAGGCAAGTGGTTATGGGGGACCAGGGTCCACAGCTCCGGTGGGCTCCAAAGGCCTCCGAGGAAACTGCTGCCCTCTTGGGGGGTGGGTGGAGTGAAAGCCCCATCTGAGGGCGCCTGAGGGTGGGCAGATGTCATCACAGGCAGACACACACCATGCATTTGCACCCTAAAGCAGTGAGGGTCTCCTAGCTGAGGACTCCAGCCTCCCCATCAGTGTCCTCACCAGGCTCCCCAGTCCTTACAGAGACCATGACTGGCTATTTGGTAGCTGGGGCTGGTTCCTTCTGGGACCTGCATCACCTCGCTTTCACCTCTGGATGGGATGGGGTGCTGGTGTCTGCCTGCCCTGCCAACTCCCGGGTTGGCTCCCGTGAGTCAGGCTCCCGTGAGGCAGTGGGGTGGCCCAGCCTGGGGGTGCTGCCTCAGCTTGCGCTGATCTGGGGACCCCTCCTGTGGGAGGGCCTCCTCCCATACCTTGTCGAGGGGAGCCGAGGGGTGGGCCCCCAGAAAGGCAGGCGGAGGAGGCTACAGGAGGGCAGACTCCAGAGTCCTGCTCTCACAGACAGCAGCCGCACCCCTTGGTGGGAGAGGTCAAAGTCGCCTAGGTGGGCCCTGGCGCTCCGCAGGTGGGGTGGGGTGCACTGAGGCCCACCTCATCCAAACTCGCCGCCTTGTCATCCAAACCACAGGCGACGGGGTAGGGGCCGGGCTCCAGCTGTGTCCAGCCTTCCTCGGTGCAGTGGCGGCTCACGTTGCGGCCTGGGGGAGGGCAGGGGCAAGGACAGAGGCTGAGGCCAGGAGCAGGGCAGGGCCCTGGAGTCGGCCGTGGGGACCTGGCTGTCTCTGTGCTTGGAACAGGGCAGAGAATTCAGCCCTACTCCCACCAACCCTGGTGCTGTCTGGCTCCAGCTGCCCTGACCCAGACACCCAGGGCACCGTGGGGGCACCTGGGGCAGGGAAACGCCTCTTCAGGGCTCCTGCACGGATGACAGAATCCCAGCAGACATGAACCTGACCCCATGTACAATGCACACTCTGATCCTTGTCACAGACCCGCCTGGATCCTCGTTACAGAATGCTTCCTGACCCTTGTCACAAGGTCATGGCTGGGGGAGGGGGCCAGGTCTGCCCAGTCCTCCTTAGCCTGCCTGGGCCTGTGGGGCTGGGTTTCTTCTCATACCTGGTAGGGCTCAGATGTGCTGCTGAAGGGGGAGCAAGGCTGAGCAACATCTGTTGCAGAGGGGAGTGTGATTTGAGGTGCTGCCAGGTGGGGTTGTGTGGGGTTGAGCCATCCTTGGATTGAGGGGTGGGTGGCAGGGAAGAGGGAGGAGGGAGAAGGGAGTGAGGAGGGATGGGGGTTGGGGAACACCTGATAAGTGTGCAGATCCTAAATCCTCACGAATAGAGAAGCAGGGGGTTCCTGGCAGGGGAATCTGTGCGGACAAAGCCATGTGAGGGGGAATCAGGCAGCACAGCAAGGCAGGACCTTGGGGCTGGAACGAGCAGAGGCGGAGGCTCTAGGGCAGCTGCCTGTCCACTGTCCTTGGAGGCTCCGAGCTGCAGCAAGGCACAGGCCCGCTAAGGGGATGTGAGGTGAGAGGTGCCACGGAGGCTCCCCACTCTACAGCCCTGGGGAGGTGTCCTCTCCCCTGAGAGGGGACGGTGGGCTGAACAGAAAGTTGATGAGCGGGAGAAGAATCTTGCTTCCCCATCTCAGTACCCGTTCATCACTGCCACCGTTACCACCATCGCCACCATGTCAGGCTCATCACCAGGACGGGTTTTGAGCACTTTGCAAATGCAGGGCTGGTTAGAGCACTTTCGACACATCGTGTTTAATTTCCTCAACCATCCAGTGAGGAGGGTAACCCCATTTCACAGTTCAGAAGTGGAGGCACCAAGAGGTTGGTCACTCGCCCAGGGCCATACAGAGAGGGCAGGATGCTGCTGGTCGGGTCTCCAGAGTCCTGCCAGGTAAGCTTGGTTCTCACCTGCATGGAGGTGACCTGAGACCTTATTTCGGTGGCCAGATGCCGAGCAGCAGGAGGGTCAGTCTGTCCTGTGAGTTCAGGAAGTGTCACCAGACACGTGTGTTTATTTCCAAACTTTGCCATGTGCCCAGCATATACCAGGTGATTCGATATTCACCATTTCTGTAAATCCTCCCGGCAACCCTTAGAAAGAGGTCTTGTCACCCAGTTTCATGGATGAAGAATGGAGGGACGGCTTGGGGGATGGGACAGCCAGGAAAGAGCAGCCGTGGGCTGGGTCCCTTTGCATCACATGGCCCAGGGAGGGCAGGAAGGATGTGGCTGAGGAGGGGCATTGCACTGGGCGTTTCTTGCCTCAGCATCCCCTTTTCTGCCCAGGGCTCCCAACCTCACTGCTGCGAGAGGTTGCCAGGACAGTAGAGAAGCCTTCAGCTGCCGCTGTGTGCCCTGCTCAGCTTCCCATCATTGCAGCCAGAGGTAGGCCTGGCCCAGAGCCGTCAGCCCAGCCCTCATCAAAGGGCAGGTCCTTCCTCAGCCCCAGTTGCAGGGAGCTAACTGCAGGCCCCGAGGTCCTGGCTCCCACCCACAATCTGTTTCTTTTGAAGACTTGCCCCTACCAGGCTTGGGCAGGTAGAAAAGAGGGTTACGGGCTGGGTGCGGTGGCTCACGCCTGTAATCCCAGCACTTTGGGGGGCTGAGGTGGGCAGATCATGAAGTTAGGAGTTCAAGACCAGCCTGGCCAACATGGTGATACCCTGTCTCTACTAAAAATGTAACAATTAGCCGGGTGTGATGCCACACGCCTGTAATCCCATGTGGGAAGTAGAAAAGTTCCTTTTAAAAGTTTCCTTTCTTGTTAAAGAATAAGTGTGCTAATAACTTTGTTAAGCCCTATCCTATGTAGCTGTTGGACATGCCATGCTTACAGGCATGTAGTACATTCTATGTCCTTGTACTTTAACCAAGATATCTGTGCTGGACGTGCTCACAGGCATGTCCCAGCTCTCCATGGCTTTTACCTGTTTAGAAAAGTTTTAAGTTGTCAGCCAATCGGGTTTTAGTTTAGATTGTGAGGTCTGGCTCCAGCCAATGGAGATCAGACACAGCAGTAAGGACGACCCCAAATGTGCAAGGGGTAAATTTTGGTGCTTTCCTTTGTTCATTGTACTCTCATGGCACGATGGCTAGCGAGGATGCCCTTCCTGCAGTCCAGGAAGTAAAAATTGTGTTGCTGAAAAATCCTTTGTCTCAGTGATAATTTATCTTTGAGGCACCAACCACCTATTTCCAACATCCCAGCTACTCGGGAGGCTGAGGCAGGAGAATTGTTTGGACCCAGGAGGTGGAGGTTGCAGTGAGCTGAGATCGTACCATTGCTCTCCAGCCTGGGTGACAGACCAAGACTCCGTCTCAGAAAAAAAAAAAAAAGAGAGTTAAGGCCAAAGTCACCCAGCCTTGAAACTAGGACACTGAAGCTTTGGGCTTTGTACTCACTAGAGGGACCAGTGACACAGCAAGCTTCTGGTATCATGAATTATGCCAGCAAGCCTGGGTGACTCTGGCACTTACACAGCGGCTTCACGTGTGTGTGTGTGTGTGTGTGTGTGTGTGTGTGCGCGTGTGTGTGGAGTGTTAGGGTAAACATTAATGTGTTGAGGCTAGAATAGACTCAGAAGTTTTTATTATCCCACCAAAAAATGGGGATCCCAAGGCTAAGAGAGGTTAAGTGACTTGCCCATGGTCACACAGCAAGGGAGCAGCAAGACTGGGATACAGATTCCAGATCTTTCTGGGCTCCCAGCAGTGGTCAAAGGGGCACCCTGTTTCTGGAGCCCTGGCTGCTATGGATGGTGAGGGAGAGGAGGGATGGGAGAATGGTCATCTTTGGGGCTAGGTGGCCTCTTTGAAGAGCTCTGGCACTGTGGTCAAGACTTCAGAGCAAGCTGCTCTCAAGGAAATCAAAAAGGCAGCCCCCACGGGACCCCAAGAAGCAGCCAAGAGTCTCCCTGCAGTCTGGGCCTGGAAGCCAGCAGGCCCCGTATCCGCAGAGGGGGTCATGAAGGGCCGGAGGGAGGGAGCAAGAGGCTTTAACCCCGTGCTGGGAGGAATACCCCACGGCCTCCCAGTCTCTTCCCACCTACCATGTCTCACAAAACAGTCATGGCCCAGAGCCCTCCACTCAGTACCCGTAGCCAGGAACTGGGGAGTAGCCCTCTCCCTGCTCTCTCTCCATCAGTCACCAGTCCTGTCCCTGCCGCTCCTTCCCCAGCACTCCTCATCTCCCCTGGATTAGGTAGGACCCCTGCTTTCCTGCCAGCTCCCCACCCTGAGGCAGGTGGAAGGGTCATGCTAACACCCAGACCTGACCATGGCACTCTCCTGCTGATTCCCTGCCATGATGCCCCATCCCAGCCAGCAAGGATGAGCTTCTTAGGCTGGCGGCAAGGTTTTCTTATTTACAGCATCATGAGCAGGTGGCGGGGGAGGGGAAGTAGCCCACAGACCCCACAAACACGGTAAACATAGACCATACATTGAATTTTCTCAGCCAGAATGGTTCTCCCATTTTTATTCTAAAAAAAGTCTCTTCAAATATTTGAAGCGAGAAACACAGATGAAAGATATGCAGACTACAAATCAAGGAAGTACATGCCTGTAATCCCAGCACTTTGGGAGGCTGAGGTGGGAGGATCATGCTGTCAGGAGTTCGAGAACAGCTTGGCCAACACAGTGAAACCCCGTCGCTTCTAAAGATACAAAAATTAGCTGGGTGTGGTGGCGGGCACCTGTCCTCCCGGCTACTTGGGAGGCTGAGGCAGGAGAATCGCTCGAACCCAGGAGACGGAGGTTGCCGTGAACCAAGATGGTGCCACTGCACTCCAGCCTGGGCGAAGAGCGAGACTCCATCTCAAACAATAAAAACAAAAGTAAAGAAGTGAGCCACCATGCACATTTTGGTGCTTTAGTGCGCCTGGCGAAACGCCCTCCTTCAGTATTTCATCCAGCCTAGGTAGATGACTTTTGTCTAACTCTCCACAGAATTTGTATCTTCCTTCTGTAAGCTTTCTCTGGCTTTCCCTGTGGAACCAGGTCCCTTCCGGGGCATGCCTCTTCCCAGTCCTGCTATCTAAAAGGGTGTGAGCTGGTGCTCACCTCACCCCTGCCCCACCCTCACAAACCTTCCTCTCTGGAATTTGAGATCGGCTGCCTACACCTTCTTCATCTACTTGCTCAGGAGAACACTCTCTTTTTTCTGTTTTCAGTCCTGAATCTCAGTCTCCTATTTCTCTCCACCATTCCTAGGGACCAGGCCCACGGAGTACAGCTGTGTGAGTTGTTCACTGCACAAGGGCATCTGGCCGGCAGGAATATTCTGCTTGCACTGGGTAGGCTCTAGTGAGAGGTCATCTCTGCCTGAGGAAGGGCTGCCTTTTTATTGTCAGTCCAAAGGCACCACAGGCCCCATTGATGCCGGCAGCCCCAGGGTTAGTCAGATCGTGGGCGGGAGTCTAGGTCCTCAAGGGAAGGAGCTGCCCTGACACGTTCCAGCAGGGACAGAAGGAAGCGCCATGGGCAGGAATGCAGTTAGCGTCAGGGAGAAAGGCAATGAGCTGGTGCTCCCAGGGGCCAGAGAGAAGGCGGGTTTCCAGGCTCAGTGACGGGGTGCACCGTGAGGCTGGCCCGAGGAGCTCCCCTCTTATCTGCCCAGGCACCGGGTGTCCCTGGAGGAGGCAGCTGGAGCCAGGTGGGTGCCGCCTGGAATACGGCATGGCTGTGACCCCCCGGACTCCTCAGGAGGGCTTCAAGGTCTGTCTTTCCCCACTGAGGTCACAACACCAGGCACTGGGGGCACACTGGCCACCCCAAAGAGACCCTGGGGACTACTGCCATCCCCACTTCACAAACAGGGAACCGGGTCCGGGGGCACACTGGCCACCCCAAAGAGACCCTGGGCACTACTGCCATCCCCACTTCACAAACAGGGAACCGGGTCCAGGGAGGAGAAGGCCACCCGGAGTGGGGGACACCTGGGTTTTCTGCTGGCTCTCTGAATGATTATCTGGGTTCTGCTCCTCGTGAGGCCTCCTCCCCCAGGCCTGCTTCTCCCTCCGTGTTCCCCCTAGTCTTGTGGTCTTCCACGGCTCATTACACCCGAGCCTAGGCAGGGCCTGCTGGATTCCTCCCTGGCCTCCCTGACTCCCATCCACTCCCACAGAGCTCACTCCCTGAATTCTAACCATCAGCATTTCCTGCCTGCCTTTCACACCTAGAAACCGGTTAGAAGTTAAAAGCCTAACTTGGACGTCGTCGGCCGCCTGCTTAAAGCCCCCCACTTCTTGCCGGGCTCAGGAGGAAACTCAAATCTTCGCCTCCGTCCCCGAGGCCCTGCGTGGTCTGGCCTCGGCCCGCCTGTGCCTCCCTTCCCGGCCTCCTTCCCTCCCTCCGGCGTTCTCTCTGCTCCGGCCACTCTGGCCGTCACCGAGCTCCCTTGGGTGCTCATTCCACAGGCTGTTGATTCTCTGTCTTAATTACCCGCAATCTGGGATCTCTACCTGGTGGCGCGTGCTCACCGGCAGGCCTTCAGATTGCAGCTGAGGAACCGGCTCCTCAGAGAGGGGCTGCTGGTGAAGCCCTGCCTTAAGCGGGACCCACACCCCTCATTCCCTCGTCCGGCACTTTCATTCTTGACGATGCACCTGTCTGTCTTCCACATGCCTCTCCAGTTACAGCGCCAGCAGCCCCGGGCTGTCTGATCCTCTCCCGACTGTCTGTCCAGCCCAGTGCCTGGCACACTGCGGGGCGTTCCATTCACTGCACAGAAGAATGACTGAATCTATACTGTAAATCTCTGTAATGACTCACTAGCGAGAAAGGCCACATGCTCGAGAGGCTCCCCTTTTCTCTTCTGCCTCATCCATGACCAGGCCTGTAAGCAAAGTCGTGTGGTGACTTCTCGGAGCCCGAGAGGTCATCGGCTCCAGGCATCATGAATCACGACCAGCCCAAGATAACAGAGCTGCGGGAGCCATAATGCAGTCAACTACCTGTCAGTCAATCAGTTATCAATGGCTGAGCAAATATTTAGTGAGCCTTGCCTACATGCTTATCTTCACGTGAAGAGCTAATCCAATCCCACGGGCTCTTTAGAGACCCAGCACCGTTGCCTCTCTGCCAGGGGTCCCTCGGATTGCTCCAGCCCGTCTGACCCCTTTCCTTGGCCTTTCCACTTCCTGAGAGGTGAGTCCCCACTGCAGCTGGCCCACTCACGTCACCTCTTCCGCCCGGCGCTCTTACCTTGAATGGGGGAGAAGAGCTTGAAGATGAGGGGACAGGCCAAGACAACAACCTGGCCCCGGGGGGTGGCCGGCCAGCAGGTGAGGTTGTCCCACATCTTGCCACAGCCTGTGGGGGAAGGCAGAGGACACATGGGTCAGCAGGTGCAGCTGCCCCCAGCGCCAGGGCCTGAGCCCAAAGGCACCCACTCTCGTCCTCCTTCTGCCAGGCTCCCACCTCAAGGGGCCTCCATTCTGAGAGGGGAGGCACAGCCCTGCCCAGACCGCACGGGGCCCGTCCCGATGGAGGCAGGAAGGAGGCCTGACCCCAGTTCCTTCATCCTTGGTTCCTTCGTTCAAGACTCTGTTATGAATATCAGCAAACACTTACATAACCTTTGCATGCGCCAGGCTCTGTTCTGACCACTTTAGATGAATAACTTATGCAAAGCTTCCATTTCGAAGATGAGGAAGTGGAGGCAGAGTCCTTAGTGAGGATGGGGTGTGCCTGGGGATGCCGGTGGGGTTTTGATTGTTCCAGCAACTGGGGGGCCTCACTGGCATCTGACTGGCAGCCACCAGACATGCCAGACCGGCAGCTCCTGCACTCTGCACAGGGATGAATTTTCTCACATTCTGCATGGCTTCCAGATGAGCCACCGGGCATTCGTATAGATGAAAACCTTTTGTAACGAACACAGCCTGGACTCTTACACCATTTTACATATAAACACAAGCCATTTAGGTTAGTGTTGATTTGTTGAGACGCAGTCTTGCTCTGTTGCCCAGGCTGGAGTGCAGTGGTGCAATTTCAGCTCACTGCAACTTCTGCCTTCCTGGGTCAAGTAATTCTCCTGCCTCAGCCTCCTCAGTGACTGGGACTACAGACCCACGCCACCACACCCAGCTAATTTTTGCATTTTTTGTAGAGATGGGTTTTCACCAAGTTGGCCAGGCTGGTCTTGAACTCCTGACCTCCAGTGATCTGCCTGCCTCAGCCTCCCAGATTGCTGGGATTATAGGTGTGAGCCACACGCCCGGCCCCACCTAGTTTTTGAACAACACAGACTCCCTTAGCTCGGTCGGATGGTGAATTGTGATGGAGAACAGGCAGGGAGCAGGTTCAGGGGAGCCTGAACAGTAGCTTCGTTGTCTGCCACAGCTCTCAGAGCCTGGCCAGGGCAAGGTCCGCAGTGGGGTCTCCAGGGGTCTGCTTTAATAGGCACAGGCAAATTCCGTCGTTCATTCTGCTCAGGAGCTGCACGCCCCTGAGGGACTAGGACTGCCATGGACCCTCCTGCAGTTATGCAGGAGGCTTAACTGTCTCTTTGCCATCCTGCCAGTCCCATAGATTTGCTCAGAAAACCCAACCCCTGGGCCAAAGTCAACGCCAGCTGGGCCAAGTCCAGCCCAGCCCAGCTCAGGTCCGAAAGTTCCCGAGTTCCCAAGAAGGGGGTCTGGGTAGAGGAGGTGGAGGGATGTCCTTACTTGGGGAAGATCCTGCGGACTCTGTGCATTGGAGCAGGCTGGCCACAGCGAGCGGCACCTTCTGGGGCGGCAGCAGTCTGGCCGCACCTGTGGCCGAAGGCTGAGGAGGATACTTGGGCCCCCAGGGCCTGGCGGGACACTGCAGCCTCCGTTGCTCATGGAGTGCTTCCCCCCAGCCTGGCTTGAGGGCTCTTGTGGCCTCAAGTTAGCTGCCAGTCCCTCTTCCGTTCTGGGCCAGCCTCTCTGAAGGCCGAGTAGGGGCACTTCAGGTCAGTCAAACCCTGCTGGGGGTTCAAGACCCTGTTATGAATATCAGCAAATGCTTACATAACCTTTGCAAGCGCCAGGCTCTGTTCTGACCGCTTTAGATGAATAACTTATGCAAAGCTTCCATTTCGCAGATGAGGAAGTGGAGGCAGAGCCCACTCCAGCCACGGTGCTGGTGAGAGGTTTGGTTGTTCACACATTCCCTCTCGTCCTGGTTGGAAGGGCTGCTGTCATTTCTCGGGGAACTGGGTTGCTGCTGGACTTTGTTTACCCCTCTCTGACAGCGCTGGGCATATCCTGTTATGTAGGCTGGCTACTGTGTCTGGGTCCCTGCCAGACTTTGGGCTCTGCAAACCTCTGCTGCCAGTACAGGCCAGGGAGTGAACCCGGGGCTGCGCCTCTGGCCCCGGGCTCTGCTTCACTGCGGTGGGACAGAAGAGAGGAAACCAGGCCCTGCCCTTGAGGAGGCTACACTTGGCCTCAAGGAATCTCAGCACAACCAAGGCTGGGCCGGGAACTGGTGCTGGGGTGTGGGGCAGCTGGCGGGGCAGGGGAGCAGGGAGGGGAGGCCAGTATGAGGGGCGTGGCTGGAGAAGCAGGGACAGGGGACAGCCATGGATATACCTGGTGCCTGGAACGGCCTGTTGTCCTGGGCTGGGAACTGGGAGTATTTCCTCTGTGCATGGCCTAACGAGGCTCCGCAGGTCCCATCCCACAAGTCACCAGGCCTACAGAAATTCCGGGCCCAGGCTGGCTATGTATGCCCACGGGTGGACTGTGACCCCACAGGAAAACCCAACCCAGAGCCTGGGGTCAGGGATGGTGAGGCAAGTGAGGTGGGGCCTCTGCTGCGCTATGTTGTGGATTTGTGTGCACACAGAGATACACACACCGACATGTCCACGCCGGTACATGGAACGCCAGGTGCACAAATATGCACGCAAGTACACTTGCACACGGAACACAGACAGGAAACAACAGAAAGACCATAGAAAGCCACTCTCTGTGCAAATGGACAGACAGACACCCAGCTCACAGAGACAGATCTGCAGAGACAGACAGGTCTGGGTGTGCTGACATCACGCTGATAGACACGGCCACCGGGCAGACACATCCAGGCACATCCAGAGATGGCAAGTGTCCAGGCTTCAACAGACACACGCTTCTGACTCACAAAGATACTCAGAGTCAGACGCAGAGCTATAGACCCCAGAGGCACAGGCGCAGCGCCCCACACAAGGCCACGGGTGGACCCACGGCCACAACCCACACCGGCCCTTGTCTGCATCCCAGCCTGGCTGCTGGTGACAGGGTGTTGGCACTCCATAGGCACACTGTGCCAGCAGTGACCTCATCGGAATCATGAGGGTGGCCTGCCCCAGGCCTGGCAGGTGTGCCTGTCTGCACCTGGGCCTGGCTCCCTGCACTGGTGGCGTGGGCGGGGCCTGCAGGTAGTGGGCAGGGCCAGCCACCCCGTGACCCATGCCTCGGTCTCTGGGCCCTAGAGTCAAAGCGCTGTCCTGCTTTGAGACCAGGGTTGGCGAGGCCCGTCCGTGAGGCTATACATACTCACTTGCAGAGCAGGAGGCAGGCAGCCGGGGCACCAAGGCCAAGAAGAGGGAGCTGGAAGGGGGACTAGGGAGCCAGGAAGACGTAAAGATGCTCCCTGCCCCTGAGCAAGGCTGTTACACAACTGGAGGCTCTGCCTCGGGGAGAGGGGATGGCCTGCGATGATGCCCGGACCAGGCACGGCCGCCTCACTGCCTCCAGCCCAGACGTGCCAGGCCGCCCTCCCTGGCAGTGAGACTGGAAACTGACAGTCATGCCCCGCTCCTTATGAGAAGCCTGCCTCGGCGCCTCCCACCTTTCCGGCCTGTTTCCCCAAACCTGTTCCCCCTTCCAAGTCTAGGTCAAGTGCTGCCAAGGAATTCCGCCCATTCGAACCTGGGCTGCTGAGCCGAAAGGAGGGTGCTGTCACCTGCACTGACAGCCCCACTGTCCAGTCTAGCGAGCTGGGCACGCTCTTCACACTGCCAGGTGGAGCCCCCCCCCCCCGAGGAGTGGCTGGGCCCTCATGTGCTCAGCCGCTGGGCCTGACCTCGACTCATCAGCCGAACAGTGAGCCGACGGTTCACTGACCACTCAGGGTGGGTTGGGATGGGGAGCCCAGTGTGTGTGCCTGTATATGTATGCTTAGGGGCTGGGCCTGCCTGTGTGTGTGTGTGTGTGTGTGTGTGTGTTTGTGTGTGTGTCTGTGTGTGTGAGTTTGTGTGTGTGTGTGAGTTTGTGTGTGTCTGTGTTTGTGTGTGTGTGTGTGTGAGAGTTTGTGTGTGTGTGTGTGTGTTTGTGTGTGTGGTCACTGTTAGTCCTCTGGGTGTGGCAGAGCCTGAGCCTGGGGTTGAGAGGGAGGAGCGGGCCTCAGTTTCCAGCCTGACGAGTCCCTGTGGTGAGGTCTTACATCTGTGCAGACACAACTCCTGCCCCTTCTTGCTCTGGATCACCAAGATGGCTTTGAGCTTACATGCGGTCCCTGTGGAGGTCACATATTGTGACTGAATGTCCCCTCTTCTTCCCCGGAGATGCAGTACAATGTTCTGATCCTGGAGTGTGGTATTTTGGGGCTAGTTCTCCCCGTGCCAGCTCTAGGGGTTCCCTGCACCTGCTCACAGGCCCCCACCACGCAGCACCCTGGCCTCACGTCCTGGGTGGGTAGCAGCCATGGACATCTTCCTTTTCCTGGAGTAGAGGGCTAAGGGACCCCCAAAGGCAGAGTTGGCTCCATGTACTTTTCAGAGCCCCAGCTTAGTATGCCCTCCTCAGCCTGGTTGGGGGTTCCCCAGGCCTAGGGTGGGGTGATGGGAAAGTGAAGTCCTGTTAGCCCCTTTCTTCTTCCATCTGGCTCCCCAACCTCTCATCACCATCATCCAACAAATATGGAATGGACGTGACTTGGATCCCAGACGCGACATGAGGAAACTCGGGCGTTTGGGGGCGCGCAGCCCGTCTCTGCTCGTGGGGCCTCACCTGCTGTCTCATTCTCCAGCTCGGCCTCCTCCATGCACTGCTTCTGTTGCACCTCGATCATCTGCAGATAGTCACACTCCTGCTGCAGCCTGGCCGCCCGGCCGCCCTGGGGACAGAGACAGGAAGGGCCGATAGCCTCGTCCACAGACTCAGGAGCAGCAGGCCCATCCCCACGCTGCACCTCTCCTGGAGGAGGTCCCAGTCCCAGTGCAGGCCAATCCAACCCCAGACTGAAACCGGAGCCTGACCTGAATCTCCCCCAACCTGCTGTCATTGTCCCAGCCTGGGTGGGCCCTGAGGACCCTGCCACGGCTCCTTGCTGGCTCCCCCAACAGTGCTGCAGCTGTGACAGCTTCGTCTCTTTGTGGGTGGCACAGCCCCAGACAGCGGTAAGAGGGCGTCCCCTTGGAGGCCGGAGCTGCCTCTGGACTTGGCCACTCTCCAGCTTGGCTTGAGTGTCCTCTGTCCCTCTCTCGGCTTCCCCGGTGAGGGGCCAGCTCATGCCACTACTCTGTTTTGTGGAGCTGGATCCTGGCCTCTGGTTCTCAGGGCCAGGCCTGGGAAGAATCCAGACGTCTAGCTGATTTTCCAGCCCTGTCATTCCAGCGTCCTGTGCTCAGTCCCCGGGTCACCAGGCTGGGAAGGAGGCTGTGGCCTTCCTTGCCCAGACCTCACCTGCCCCCTTTTCGGTCTCTAATTCAAGCTATACCAGATCTGCTGAGGGTGGGGAGGTTTAAGGAAGTAAGAGAGCCCCTCAAGGACCCCAGCAGGCTCCCTCGGGCTCTGGAAGACGGAGCTGAGGGTGGGGAGGTTTAAGGAAGTAAGAGAGCCCCTCGAGGACCCCAGCAGGCTCCCTCGGGCTCTGGAAGACGGAGAGAAGGGATGGGAAAGCCCAAGCTTCCCCTCTGCCCTCCCTAACCCTGGCCTGGGATCAGGGTCAGGCCAGTGTGAAGGGACGCTGACCTAGGGGAAGACATGTGGGTGGGGTGATGGATGTCTAGGAGCAGCCAGGAAAAACAGGTCGTGGGAGCTCCTAGTGGGTTAGGGTGGGTGAAGGCCTCCGCGGAGGAAGCGTTGGGCTGGCAGCAGCTTCTGTGTCTGTGGCTTTGGAAGAGTGGCTGCTGGCCCCGGCAACCCCACACCAGTTTCCCCATCTCTGCCTGGGGAGGAGAATGCCAGTTTCTACCAGGGCCATAGGAGAGTCCAGCGAGACTCCAGAATCGGACATTCTCAGCATCTCTTCCAACTTGTCCCTCCCACCCTGCGACAGAGTCCTTGCCTTCCTGGGCCTCAGTTTCTCTGTAAGCTATATGGGCCTCAATCACCTCCCCTGCTGACTTAGAGGTTTCTTGAATGGATCTGTGGGAAGAACATAGGTGGGAGGGCCTTCCTTTAAGGGGGTCCCTCCTGGCCTGCAGGCACCAAAGTGCTTAGTACTTTGACCACTGTTCTAAGTAAATCAGCTCCATTTACGGGGATGTGCATCCCCGCTGGCAGCCAGCAATCCATCGCTGTGGAGGGAGAGGGGCCCAGGCTGGAGCGGCTGACTCAGTGCCTGAGGGTGCGCACCACGCCCCTCCACCCAGGCAGCTCTCGTTCCTGCCGAGGGCTCTGTGGTGGGGCCTCTGTCTCACAGGCCACCTGGAGTCCAGCCCTCCCAGAAGCAGCTAGCACCAGGGTCGGGCTTGCCCAGGTCCAGGGAGGGCCTCCATCTCCAGGACTCCTTTAGATTCCCCAGCGTCCAGACCCTGCCTGCCTGCGTGCCATTGCCCTGGAAGCCGCACGTGAACATGAGATCCATTTTGCACCTTTACCAGCCAACGGGGGTAAGGACAGTAGCTGGTAAGTCATTCACAACTTACTGAAAGTAACACAGTGGTGTGATGGAGCTTGATGCAGTTATTGATATAACTGTTAGGAGACTTCAAGGAAACTGTGTCTGTGGTTCCTTTTTGGGGTCATGTGCTTCCTCTTTCCCATAAGGGTTACTCAGGCTGACATGCTCAAGACATTATGTCTCCAGGGACTTGTGGCTGGTTCATCCTCAAGTATAGGGGGAGGAGTGGCCAGGTCTATCTCAGAGGTGGCTTCTGGAAGAGGAACCTGGGTCCTGGCCACTCTGCCTTGTGTCCCACCATTGGTCTGTCTTGGAGCACCTGTCTCACCAGGGTACCATCCCAACCCCATTTCCCGCCAGCAACAGGGTTCTTTCTACTTTCTGGCCCTTCCCAGCCTCTCCTGATTCTCTTGCCCAGTCTCACCTCTCATCGCCCTGTAATGTGAAAGCAGGACAGATGCAGCGGACACCTGTTGCTTCTGCCTTCCACCCCCTTTACTCTCCCCTTGTGCCATGTGCTTGCCTGTGTCTGGGAAACCACCTCCTTCCCTACCTCTAGTTCACGGAGTTCTGATGGACCCTCTTCCAGGGGACTGACATGTGACCGAGACTTAAGTCACCCAGGGCACTCTCGGCCACAATGCCTGACCCACCGCCCGAGTCAGGCTACTCAGAGCCAGGAGGCTCCCTCCTGGGACTTTGGATTAAGTGATTAAGCAAGTGAATTTGCTTTTTCCCAGTGGACTGGAAGCCTTAAATGAAGCAAGGGCTTGGGCTTCTGCTGACCTCTTGTTGACAAGTGGAACACAGGGATGAAAGCCACACAGCTGAGGCAGAAGAGATGGAGAAAAATCAGGTCCTGTTAACATTGTCTGCGGCTGCGAATGCAGCCATGCCTGAAACCTACAGCTGGCAACGTGAGCTGGTATGGTACCTTTTCTTTACGGCTTGGATCAGCTCGTTTTCTGCCGGTTGCTGTAAACAAAAGCGTTCAGCTTTGCTTTCTGAGGACAGGACAATGGGCACCCTCACTTTCTGGGCCCTCTTAAGCCAGGACTATGGCCACGTAGTTTGCCAATAAATATTTGTCTCCCGATCACCATGGGCGCCAAGGGTTTCTGCCAGCGTCTGCTTGCGACTCTCTGAGGATAGAAGGGTGCTGGGCCAACTTCTCCAGCCAACTCTGCTCCCCCACAGCATGGCCACAGCGCCCTTCCTCAGCGGCAGCTTGGAGAGAAAGGAGGGGTGGGTGCAGGAGCCTGTGGGGCTTATGAAAAAGTGGGTGTGGTCTGGAAGATGAGCTCTGTCTTTGCCACAGTTTAGTTTAGTGCTGAGTCCTATCTGGAGAAGGGTAGAGGAGATGGAGACCCAAAGAGGGACCGGATGTCACCCGGCAAACACACGTTCCCAGATGGGACCTCGGTCTCTGACCACTGGTCTGGACTGCATCAACCCTTCTCCGCAGCCTGGCCTTGGGCCCTCTGGCCAACCATTGCCCTTTGAGGGACCGGGCCAGGGCAGCTCCCTCTAGTCCTTATCACCGAGGAATTCAGGCAGACTTTGGACTTCCTCTCCCACGTACTTATTTCCCTATTCTAAACATCCTCATTATCCCTCTGGGCTCCAGGCACACAGAGAGAGTCAGAAAATTCCCTGGCAGAATATAGCCAAGTCTCCTGATGCCAGGGAAGTGTTCCAGGGTGGGAAACAGCTAGAGTCTGGGATTCCTGCAGAATGGGTATGCTGAACTCATTCTGTAAACGCACGTCACGGAGGATATGTGAATTAGAAGTGGGGTAAGAGCACCCCAGCAACAGAGCAGCGTGCACACAAGCATGGAGGCATGAAGATGCCTAATACGTGCCAGGTTGCGAGAAGCCTGGTGTCGCTGCAGCGAGGAGCTCCGGGGGCATCAGGAGACACGTTGGGAGATGCAGCCTGGGGCGGGACTGGGAAGGACTCGGAATGCCAGTTTTCAAGTGTGAGCTTTCACTCTTAGGCCACGGGGGCCAACAGAGATTTGAAGCAGGAGGCTGAGGATGGGGGATACACATTTCACAAAGATCCCTCAGGTTGCAGGTGGGCTGAAAGCTACTGTACCAGTCCAGGCAGGAACTGATGAACCCTGGCGGGACAGTGGGCATAGAGAGGAGGGGGATAGAGAGGAGGGGGCATGGGGGGTTAGAGAGGAGGGGGCATAGAGAGGAGGGGACATGGGGGGGTTAGAGAGGAGGGGGATGGGGGGCGGGCAGGTAGAATGAACACTTGATTAGTTTCCGTCTCCAACTAGGCCCGGGATTCTCCTGCCAACTCCCTGTCATTCACCTCCCATATCCAGCGAACACCATGGCGTGGGACAGGATGGAGGAGATGCTCTGGACTTCTTGGGTCTTGCCTGGGTTCCTTCTGGGCTTAGGAACTCCTGTCCTAAAGAAGGTGCTGAGAACCCAGCCTGGCCCAAAACTCTCCAGCCTCAGCTCAGCTGCAGCGGCAGGCTCCCTTTAAGCTTACTTTTTGGAGTTCAGTCCAGCACAGGATCCAGTGAGGGGCTGGAGAGAAAGCCCTGCTTTCCTCCCCGTGTGGGGTTACCTGAGACCCGGAGCAAAGGCTGGGTGTGGTGGTGGGGGAGGGGTGAGGACGCTGAGCGCTGTGGCTGTTAGATGCGAGGGGCTCTGGAAGACAGGGTGGGCCCAGCTCAGGCTTATAGGTTGTGTCCAGTCCCCTCAAGGGAAGCCGAGACCGCGAATCAGAAGCCCCAGCCTCATCAGCTGGGGCAGGGGAGCCAAGCAGCACAGCAGGAAACGAGCGTCCCTCTGGGGAGCAGCTGCTCTCTGCGAGGAGCACAGAACCAGCAGACTGGGTAAGGTGAGGCAGGAGAAAGAACTGTCTGCAAACTGCCAAGCCTGGGGAGCCTCCTTGGATGGTTTGTGCTTCTGCGGTTTGTAAAGAGGGCTTTTTAATTCCTTCCCTGCCTGTGACTGTTAGAGGAGGCAGAGGAATGGGGAGCAGAGGACAGGGGACTCAGGAGTGGTTCCGTCCGCCCTCTCCCCCATTACTCCAGCCCCCTACAGAAACCATCTCACACCTCACGACTTATGTGCTCTCCCGGAAGCCCCCCGCTGAAGTCACGGGGTGACAAAGAGACAGGGGGAATGGAGAAGCCAGAGAGAAAACAGTGATTACGGGCACACAGGACAGCAGCCCAGCGACTCGTCCTTGCTGGCTTTTGCATGTGGGTAGGTGAGGATGCGCAGATCTTGTAATTGGGAGGCAGTGGGGAGAGAGGAGAGAAAAGGCGGGAGGAGGGAAGGGCAGGGAGGGAGCGGGTAAAGGACATAGGAAGGTAAGGGGGCTCACAGATCCAGGAGTCACAAAAGAGAGGAGGAACACGCTCCCAGCTTTGCAGAGAGCATGAAAGGAAGTCAGGACTCCAGTTCACTGTGGAGGGCACGAGGGGGCTGCTAGAGTGGTGGCAGTGTGTGGTAGCTTGACTAGGGCGGTGGCGACACAGGTGTACACGTATGTGACAATTCACTGTGCTGTCGATTCAGGTTTGTACATTTTACTAATTTTAAAAGTATCTAAAGTCCCAGGGCGGCATGTGACATGCCATACCCCTCCATGGAAGCCGTGGCCCCTCTTCATGAGGCGACAGAGCCTAGTTCAGACCCAGGCTCCAGAATGAGATTGCCTGCCACTTCCTGGCTGGATGACTCGGGCAGTTTGCTCAACCTCATCTATAAAATGGGACAGGAACAGTAACACCTACTTCTAGAATTGAGGTTGAGGGTCACATGTAAGACACCAGCCAGGCACCAGGGCTGGCCAGCGGCTTAGCAGTGATTGCCAAAGCTGTCGTCCACCTTCGTGCCAGGCTGCCCCTGCTGTCCACACCCAAGCCTAGCCACAGCCGTGGTGCCTTGCGTAACCACGGCAGGCTGAAGGTCCTACCTGCTCACAGGTGCCAGCCGCGCCCACCACAAGGCTCGAGTCTGCCAATTCCCTTCACCCCTGCTGATTTCTCTTCCTGGCATTTTTACACCGCTTCGCCAACAGCCCAAAGCCTCCCCACTGCAAATCCATTTTTTTTTTTTTTTGCCAGTCATACCTCCTCTTGGGGAAGGCTGAGCTCTGGTAGAAGAGTAGACAGAGAACTGCTGCGTGAGTGCTGAGGGAGATGGGGAGACACAGGGATACAGGACCGGTCTCAGGGTGAGAAGAACTTCCGGCCTCTCAGAGCAGTATCAGGACAAGGGCTCCCGTAACTAGCAGAACCCAAGCAGAGACGTTTAGCCTGTCCCATCTAAGGACTCTTCTTGGGAGGTTTCCTTTGGGGCGGCTTCCTTTATTTGCAGAGGATCTCTGCGATGACAGCTAAAGAAGCAGGTGCAGCAGACACAGGCTAAGCATTTAGCTTAAACCCTCTGCTGCTTGATTGTGACCCTGGCCACACCTAGGGGATCGGAGTTTGCAGGACTCAGCTTATAAACAGTCCCTTGGGTGATGCTGGAGCCACCTGCAGAGGGCTGGGCTCCCGCAAAGGCAGCCACACGCTGAGTCCTTAGTACATGGAGGTTGCTTGGTGGCCTCTTCCCCCTCTTCTGGTGACCTGCTGTGCAGGAAGAACTTGTTCTGAAGTTAGGTAGTAGGAGGTACTTCCTGAGAGATATGGGCCACAGGAGAGGGGCTGCACGGAAAGGCTGGGTCCTACCCAGGGGAGCCCAGCCCGAGGCACCCTGCCTTCTCCCCACCAGCTCGCAGGACGGTCCCGCCAGACACAGACGCGAAACTCCGCGAGAAGACTGGGCCCTGGGTAGGGTCACCACCCGTCCTGTGGTGCTGCCTCACCTTCTGGCTGGGGATATTTGAATATTAAGCAATTCCTTTCAATTTTGTTAGGGGTAATGACAGTCTCATAGTTATATAAAAGAATGTCCTTTGGTTTTAGATACGCATTCTGAAATTATTTGGGGTAAAAGGTCAGGAGGTCTATAACTTAAAATACTTCAGCCAAAAAGCAAATGAAGCATATATTAATTGTTAGATGCTAACAACTGTCAAACCTAGGAACTGGGTATTCAGACGTTCATTGTAATATTCTCTCTGCTTATTCACAATAAAAGTAAAAATTTAAAACACTATACACATGGTGGAGAGAGTAAACTGTTTTTTTCTTCTTCAGAAATAGTTTTTTTTTTTTTCTTGAGACGGAATCTCGCTCTGTTGCCAAGCTGGGAGTGCAGTGGTGTGATCTTGGTTCACTGCAACCTCCGCCTCCTGGGTTCAAGCGATTCTCCTGCCTCAGCCTCCAGAGTAGCTGGGACTAGCCTTGTGCTGGGCATTGCCCTGAGCAGCTCTGCTTCTGGATGAGGAGTCCCTGTGCCTGCTGTCCGGGGGACAGGGGCAGGGGCAGTGGGAGCTTGACAGGTGGCCTTGGGGCAGACTTCCTCCTCTGAGACACTGGAGGTTTTCTTTCCTTTTTTTTTTTTTTTTTTTTTTTTTTTTTTTTTTTTTTTTTTTTTTTGCCTCTCTGTTCAGAGACTTCCCCTTCCCAGGCTGAAGTCAGGGCACCATAAACAGGAGTGATAAGGCTTTGGGCTTCAACCTGAACTTTGCAGCTGCCATTTTATGGCTCTGATAACTCCTGGTATCCTCCCTCCTCCGGCACACCGAGTGCAGCTAGAGCAAGATTGCCTGGTGTCCATTCCCTGAGGGAGCGACTGGCAGCTGGTGGGGAGGAGGGAGAAGCAGGGAGGGAAATGGGGACCCCTCACTCCAGCCTGCCCTCACCCAGTCCTGGCTGAGTTCCTTCGCCTCTCTCTGTGGGCCCAGCCCCTGCACTGGGCTGTAATGAACATGTGGGTGTAAGAGACCCCAGCCCCTGACCTCCTAGGACGGTCAGAATAGCCCAGCCTGGGAGGTAGGGTAGGGCTGAAGGGTGGGGTTAGAGGGGAAGGGTTGAGTTGGCTGGAGCAATCAGGGAAGGCTTTCTGGAGGAGATAGAGTTGGGCACTAAAGGAGTAAGCTATGGAAAGACAGGGGGAGGAGCCAGAATTGGGCTGTCTCAGGAAGTACGAAGCAGAAGTGGCCTGGTGTGAAAGGAGGCCTCTCTGAATCCACTCTGCCCCTGGACTCAGAGCCTCCTGGGATGGAGGAATGGGGTGTCAGCAGGGTTGAGAGGGCACAGCTGCTGGTGGGGCCTGGAGGCGTCATGCGAGCTGTGCCAGAGCTGAGGCCCCGGGGACAGAGCTTGGTAAGGCTGTGAGTGCTTAGGAGGTGGGTCTCATGACTATCATGGCGGGGTGAGGGTCTGCTCCTAGGACAGGCAATAAGCTTCCCTCCCCAGGGTGCTCAAGACATCCGCTAGATGGAAACACAGATCCCTGCTCTGGTGGGGGTGTTAGTAAGGGAAGTGACCATGTGCTAGAATGAACTAGAATCGATTCTTCACCCTCTCCCAGCCAACTTGGAGTGGGCATTCAAGGCCCTGCCTAGGCAGCAAGTCTAGAATACTCACGGTCTAGGGTGGGGAGAAAACCAGCCTCTGTCTAGGTCTCACTGGTGGGAGACAGATGTGGCTCTTGTGTCTCTGGACCTCGCTTTGCCTATCTGTAAAATGGGCTTCTGTGGACTCAATGAGTGCTGAGGTCCTCCCTGTTCTACAGTGAGATGACCCATGCATCTCTTGCCTCAATCAGCATCTGCCTCATGGCCTAGGTAAGCCATCCAAAGATACACACAGCACACCCACACATGGGGCACATGGGTACACACATATCAGAGGCATACACGTACCCATGTTGAGAGGAGGCAGAGGTGGGAGGAAGGGGGCAGTGGCTCCTGCTCAGCTCTCTCCACACACAGGCCTGGCTCCTCCTCTCGCACACCACCCCAGCCCCTCACGGCCCACCCGCTTCCACCTTGGGCTCTGGTACCTTTTTGCTCTGCTCGGTGGGAGGGCACAGGGAGAGGTGTGCCTGTCACTCATCTGATCCCAAGAACCCCTTCTCACGTCCTGGGGCACCCAGCACTGGTTCTGCTGCCAACACCCCACAGACACCTCCAGACGGGCACTGCACGCAAGGATGACCCTCACACCCTCCCTTCCACCCGGGGTGTACCAGACCTTCTATCTCAATCGGCCACAGTACCTGACCCTGCAGCCACGCGCCGCCCACCCCACTGCACATCTGCAGCCACTACAGGGAAGCCAAGTCTGGGGCCCGCTCTTCCCCGCTGTCCCTCCACTGAAGCCGAGCCTGTCCCGAGCTGCGCTGGGAGGGGCTGGGAACGACCAATATCCCAACCTTCAAGTCTAGATTCGGTCTGGGGCTGTGGGAGGAGGCGACACGAGGTGCTTGGTGTCCCCTATTCCTCTTACACAGACACGCGCAGACGGCCCGGCTCCCGCCACCGCCTTACTCCCTCCCCAGCCCCCC